GATAGATAGATAGATAGATAGATAGATAGATAGATAGATAGATAGATTTTTTTTTAAGTGGAGAAGCAACTAAGGAAGACATTCAAAGCAAAAGCTGACCTCTGGCCTCCAAAAGGTCAAGTACATGATCATGTGTCTATGGAGAGACTGAGGTTAGCATGGTATATCCCTAGTATATACTGTGATATACTCTGCCCTACTATAATGCGATAAAAAGACCCTTACCAGATACCAGCCAAACATTGGCAGCATGCATGCTCCGGGGCTTCCTCGTCTCTAAACTGTGGGCCAGAGAAATTCTATTCTTAATAAATTACCCAACCACAGATACTTTGTTACAGCAATGCAAAACCAGACTAAGATGTTCTTCCTAAGAGAAGAACGTAACTACCAAATACCATCTTTGTAAAACTAACCAGAAATATCTAGCCCCGATTGACCTCCAGCTCAAGCGTTCCTTAGTTACCTTCAGAAACGTCCTCAGTACATGTATTTGCTGTGGTTCCAACTTGTACTCAAGGACAGTTAGTGTATATAAGCTACAAACTCGGATCCAGTGTGTAGTAATTATTTACCCCCTCCCAAAAGAGCCTTTCGCTTAAAAAATTATCTGCTTTATTATATCGGTGGGGTGAACTCCTACTGAAGAGGCCAGCAATGGCTTTGAATTTCTGGCAGCGGCTTAGGCTCTCTGAGATTGTAGCTGTCGATCTGTAGAATAGGGATGACAATAGTGCCATTTAATGAACCAACATTTTCTCTCATAGGGTAATCCCCCAGGAGAAATGAAGCTATGTGTTCAAATATTTGTACCCGTGTGTTCCAGCCTGCTTATAGAGCTCCAAGCAATTTGAATATTCATAAGTGGGTTAACAAAGAAAGGAACAAACCGATGAGAACATGAATAGAGTTGAAAAACAACGTGACTGGTGAGATGGCTTAGTGGATAAAGGTGCTTGCCTCCAAGCCTGAGGACTTGAGTTCAGTCCTAGGTCCTCGCATGATGGAAGAAGAGATTATCTTCTGAAAGTCATCCTCTGACTTCTGGTGCAGACACACACACACACTAAACTAAATGTAATAAAAAAAAATTGAGCCAACAAAAGAAATGCGATGTGCTGAGTGAAAGAAAACAGATAAAACATTACATAGTGTATGATTTCATTTATGTTAAATTCTCCTGAAGACATGACCTACAGCTAGAAGTCACTGGTGAGCCATCTCAAAAAGGCAGGGATGGAAACTCTCTGTGAAAGTAGCAATGCTCTGTGTCTCAAAGGCTGTGGTGTCAAAATTTATCAACTTGTGCTCCTAAAATAGTCTCACAGGTGTAAACTAAGCCACAGTAAAGCTGACCACCACAAATCGATGTAACAGAGTTATTATAAAGGTTAATAAAGTGGGGCTGAAGAGATGGCTCAGCAGTTAAGAGCACCGGCTGCTCTTCCAGAAGACCCGGCTTCAATTCTCAGCAACCACATCACATGGCAGCTCACAACTGACTATAACTCTAGCTCCAGGGGATCTCACACACACACACACACACACACACACACACACACACACACACACACAGGCAAAACCACCAATGCACATAAAATAAATAAAATTATAACAGAAAAGATAAATGAAGTGATGTGTGAGAAAGAGATGTGTGTGCGTGTGTGTATGTGTGCGTGTGTAATCTCCCCAAGTTTAGTGCTGTCAGAGAGGCTCATACACTAATAGTTGTGACCATGTGCATACCTGACTGTGATGCACTCCCAGGTGTTCTCCATCTAAATAAAATGGCTCACCAATGACAAGGCGGATGGCGAAAAGTTCAGGTCCAGCTGAGACTGTTCCTGCTGTCAGGTCCTTCCATGGTAGTGTAAGTCCCACCCACGCCTGGGAAATGGACACCACTTCCCCAAAGAAGCCTGAGGCAACTCCTGCCCTTCTGATTCAGGATCAGGCACATAAGTCCAGCCAAACTGCCCTCGCCCAGTCACCCAGGCAGTAAAGTCCAGTGTACCTGCCAAGCCTGTCGGCTTCAGCACCACCCCGAGGCAACTTTATCTAAATGCGTGCCTTCAGCACCCAGCACCCAGCACCCAGCACCCACCATTAGGTGTCCACCACTGGTTGTTGCAGTGAGGGCCTTGAACATCGAATCAATGAACCTGGGCAAGCAAGTCGGGGGAAAAACGGGCAGGAGAATCAAGAAGGCATCAGGGCCTCTCCCCCTGAAGCAAGAAGATGCATTTTATTTATATATATTATGTCTCGTTGCTAGGCAACTGGGCCTTGGCCCAAGTGGCAAGGAGGAGGGGTCTCCTGCTGCAGTGAGCCAGGGTGACTCATTCCTGTGTTGTTAGTTCCTCTGGGCCTGGTGCACACATTCAAGTCAGGCTTGGAGACCAGACCCACCTGCCTGTGGAATTCCTAGATGGAACAGAGCCAGTTCCCAGCTTCTCACCTGCTTGCCGAGAGCCAAAGGAAGCACTCGTAACCAGACGCCTGACTCTGCCATGGGTTGAACTTGGGCAGGCCATTTAATGCCTCTCACTTGCTGAAGGGAGAATGTCAGATGGCATTTCCAAGTCTTACAGTACATTTTAAGTGCCCTGGCTGATTCACACAGGCGCCATTTTCTCCCTTTGACGATCGGAAAATTATAGTCCAAGGCAAGGTTAATTTTCTCAGTTTGCAAAGTTATCCAAAAAGCAGGTTACAAAGCTCTTCTCCATGCCTCAGAGCCCCATATGTACCCCTTTACCACAGCAGATCAGCCGGTTCACTTGCAGTGCCTACTCCATCTTGAGCTCTGTGGCTGAGGTTCTCCAGGGCAGATCCCAGCACAAGTGGGCACAGCTGCCCCTTCCTGCCCACTGTGGGCCACTGGCTAGAAATGCCAGTCTCCCTGCTGGATGCCTGAGTCAGCCAGCAGGTATCTTAAGGGAACTTCACAGTGTCCAATTTTGACTACTTCTGGCTACACAAACTGTTTAGGTCAGTGGAGGTTCCAAGACTGGCTGTTACTCTTCTTCCATCCTGGAAACATTTCTCCTGGTACCTGGTGTTCAGGGGGATAGAACCAAGAGCCACTGAGCCACATTTTCACCCTACAAGCTGAACTCAAACCCCACCTGAGGTAGGAGGGAACGACCAGCCCTCTGGTTTATTCTTTTTAAATTTATTTTTGTTTTTAACTCTCATTTTTATTGTATGTGTGATAGCGTTTTGTCTGAGTGTATGTCTGTGAGTCACACGTATCCTTTGGAGTCTAGAAGAGGGTACTAGATTCCCTGGAACTGGAGTTACAGTTATAAGCTGCCTAGGTATGGAACCTGGATCCTTTGGAAAAGCAACAAGCATTCTTAACCACTGAGCCATCTCTCCAGCCCCTCTCCTTGTCATTCTTACCAACTGGCTCCTGTTTTCTGGATCCAAGTCCTTCAGAATCCAGGTGCTCTCAGGCCTGCTGGCCAAGGAAGACTTTTAAAATGCGGCTCATCTTGCAGTCTCATTGACAAGCTTTCTGCAGACCTGGAGCTTTGCTCACAGCGGCTGGGCTCTGAGATGGAGGCTTCCCGAAGCACAAACTACAATCAAGGGGGCAGATCTCTGTCTCTGATTCATGGGTAAGAAACGGTCTCAAGAAAATGTCTTCACTGTAGTTATTATTTATTCAAATCAATCTGGTTTGCCCTGCTGTAACAATACAGATGTGTGAGTTAGTGAGTGTGTTCGTGTGTGTAAGAGAGAGAGAGAAACTGTGTGCGTGTGTGCAATCTCACAAATTTTGTGTAGGTGCTGTGGCACTCTGAGGACACTTTTGAATGTCATTCCTTGGCTACAGTACATTTTTGATTTTATTGTCTTGTTTTGTTTGGGTTTGTGTGTAAGTTGTATTGTTTTGTTTTTGAGACAGGGTCTCACTGTGTATCCCTGGCCAGCCTGGGACTCACTATTTAGATCAGGCTGGCCTTGAATTCATCTGACTCTATCTCCCAAGAGCCGGGACTAAATATGTGAGCCCCCACACCTGAAGCCTGTGAGTTTTTTGAGCTAGGGTCTCTCTGGCCTGGAGCTTACCAAGTAAGTTAGGCTGGCTGGCCACCCAGCCCCAGGGATTTGCCCATCTCAGTCTCTTCTTCCAGCACACCACCACACCTTTTTTTTTTTTTTTTCAATGTGGGTTCTGAGGATCAGCTTTAGGGCCTCATGCTCATAAGACAAGCGCTTACCCTACTGAGCTGCCTCCCCAGCTTGTCAGAGTAGCTATAAAAACACAATTGTTTTGGCACGTGGTTCTGAGTCCAAGACTAAGAGCTGCATCTCAAAATGCCATTGATACTGACATGGGATAGCCCATGGCAAGAAATAAGGAGTGTGCGCTGTGTGTAGCCTCTTCTTACAGAGCCATCACTATCCAGGCACAAATGCCTCTCTTGATGACCCCACCCAACCCTAATTGCTTCCCAGAAGCTCACCACAAGGAAGCTCAGTTTCCCCCTCAATGTTTCACACAGTGATAAAATTCTGACCTGGGCATCCTTGAGGGATACTCCAATTATATCCAAGCCACCCGGCCATAGGCCAGCTTTACTGACTACCTGGTGCTCCTACGTCATGCACAGCGCCATGGCTTGCTAGTGCCCCCTCTGGGCTGACTGTCCTTTGAAGGCATCTTCATTTTACTTACCTGCCTCTGCCATATAGTGGGGGTGTCTGCTGGACAGACACACAAAAAAGGGATGAGGGAAAACAAGTCAGTTCTATTTTAAAGAGTATAAGCCGTGGGCATGAGACATTTGGGGATACTGAATAAGGGAAGGCAGGAATACTACTCTGATTTCACTCAGCTCTTAAAACTGAAAAAAAAAAAATCAACCTGGGGACTGGCGGCTGTCTCAGTCGGTATAGTGCTTGCCTAGCATGGACAGGATCCTGGGTTCTATACACAGCACCACGTTAACAGGGTGTGCTGGCACATACCTGTAGTTCCAACATCATAGAAGTGGAAGCAGGAAAGTTCAAGGCCATGGGATACATGAGATCCTGCTTCAAAAGAAAAAAAGAAAAAGAAGAAAAGAAAGAAAAGAAAAAAGAAAACAAAAACAAACAGAAACCAAACCCCAAACCAAAAAACAAGCAAACAAACAACAAACAAATCTGAGGCAGCAAGATGGTTCCACCAGCTAAGGCACTTGCCTCTAAACTGGATGACCTGAGTTCAATTCACAGAACCCACATGGTGGAAAGAGAGAACCAGTTCCCACGGATTGCCCTCTGACTCCCATTTGCATACCATGGCACTCATGCACAAGCAAGCACGCAAATACAATAAATGCAATAAAACTTTTTTAAAAAAATCAACTCAGCCCAAGATGGGTGGTGCACTCCTGTAATCACGGCACTTGTGAGGCTAAGATAGGAGAACGCCAAGTTTGAGGCTAGTTATCCAAGGTCTACATACAAGCCCCTGTCTCAAAACTATACAACATAGTTCAGTGGCGTACACTTGCCTAGTGTGACGGGATTCTAGCTCTGGTAACATATACATATGTGCAAATAAATCAACCCTAATTCCTTAAGCCTAATCCATCCTCAATAACACTAGCATTATTTTCAAGGTTCCTCGAAAACTCAGGTACATTAAGTCCTTGTTCCCTTTTCCACTTAGATATTATGAGCTTGCCCCAGCCCTCTTCAAACTGAAGAGACTGATTATTTTTTCCACTGTAGGTTGTGAAACGAAACTATCAGGAAATAAGCTGTGTGGAACTGAAACTAGAATGCCACACTTGATAATAAGACCGAACAATGTGTTGTGAAACTTGTAGCTGAATATGTTTCTGTCATGTGACCTGGGCCAGCAGGACATTCTTTCAGTGCCAGGGTCCTGAGGGAGAGGACCAGGGGTGAGAAAATAGAAAGATATGAAAGTTGGAATTAGAAGGTCTTGCCTAGGCTGACAGCTTGTGCTGATCAAGTTTATAAGAAGTACGATGTCTTATTTACAGTTTACAGGGGAGGATGGGATAGACGTAAGGCTATCATAAAACTGGATGAAGTCAGCAGGAAGCTCACCAGTTGTACAAAGGGATCACAGGATATCTCCAGTATGCTACAGACCAAGTACACAGTGGCCTTGGGACTGATGACTCCAGTCTCTTCAAGATGCAAATGTCTGTCCTAGAGATCACTATGGCTTCAGACTCACAGAGATCCTTCTGCCTCTGCCTCCTGAGTCCTGGGATTAAAGGTGTGATTTAGATTCGTTATAGCTTAATGGAGTATCTGAAGCTGGCATGGCACTTTAAAGTTAACTGTTGCTGTATAGTTTGTACCGTATCTCCTAAATGCAGCACCACACTTCCTAAGCATTTAACTTAGCTTCTAGTTTTTACCTGTACATTCTTATGTTGCCAAAGAAGCTGATTAGCAAAATGGGCAGTTTGCACTTATTAGATAGAACCACTGTAGACATGTTGAGAAATAACGTTATATTTTGAGTTTAAATTACTGTGCTTAAGAAATCTATAAACAGAAACGCCTCTAACCTGTAAGCCCCACTTTCCCAAGGACAGATAACTTCCTAGAGTGCTGAGGGCTGCTGTTCACGTAAGAGAACAAGCTGAGTGTTTTCACTTCTGTAAACAAGCTTGGTTGCCCCAACTGCACAGGATGGGCTTGGTCACATGTAGGTGGGAGGTACCTAGGCAGAAAGCATGTCAGGATGTATGCTTGTCCCTGACTGGATGAAGGCGGGAGGCGTGTAGCCTTGCCTTTGTAAGCCTGTAACTAATGTAATTCAGTGCCATTTACTCTGGCAGACTTGGGTATGGACCTGGCCCATGTCCATCGTCCTGACCAGTATTTAATAAAACTTGCTTCAGATCTGGCTCAAAAGTTGTGGTAGTGGCCTCTTATTATTCTTACCCAGTGGGATTAACAGAAGCAGCTGCAGAAGCTATCACAGTGACTATTTTGAAAATGCTAGTCAAAATCAAAACAAAACCGAAAAAAAAAAAAAAACCCTCTGCTTTCGAGTAAAAGTCTGATGCACTTCAAGGAGAACCTATAGTACAAAACCACCATGTCAAGTATCATCAAGGTGCACCACAGCCATAACTAAGGAAGTCTGCTGAAGCAAGAGAAGGCCTCTCAGCAGAGGGAGAGTTTACACAGTGAGGAGACAACTGGTACAGTGACTTTAAAGTGTCCCCACTCTCTTGAATTTGAGGAATCCCATTCAGTGGCAAATGTGGATGGTTACCGCAGGCAGTGAGTCCAAACACAGAAGGATGTCCATACCACAGTTGTTCATCCTCTCCAAAAGTCCCATAGACCACTGTGCAGGCCTGTGGCTAACAGCCAGAGGCGGGGTTGAGCCTTTCCTTTAGGAGATAATATAACAGGACAGAGGCTCTGAGGGGATCCTAGGAGGTTCTCCTCATCTCAACCAGGTGGGCGCCTCCACGGCAAGTTGACCAGCCCCTCAGATTGTCCACTCAGAGGCAGAGTTCTTTAGAACCATGGAGCATGACCCAAGGGGAAATTCCATTCTGAAACCAGGGTGCAAGATTTTTATTGCAAGGCGGTGAGCAGAGATTGGAAAGTTAAGTGATGAGCTGGTGGGCAGTGTCTGCAGGGTGCGTTGTTTCCGCCTTCCCTTTGCAGGTCGGAAATGCTTCTTAACTTAAATGCTTCGCCAATGGATGTGTAACTAACATTCAGACATCAACAAAGTGTCTAAGAAAGTAAGTCCTTGCCTGGTGGTGGTGGTGCATGCCTTTATGCAGAACTGGAGTTTGAGGCCAGCCTGATCCAGAGAGCAAGTTCCAGGGCAGCCAGGGCCACACAGAGAAACTCTGTCTCAAAAAAACCAAGAACGAAAGAGAGAGTGAGAGAAAGGAAGGAAGGAGGGAGGGAGGGAGGGAAGGAAGGAAGGAAGGAAGGAAGGAAGGAAGGAAGGAAGGAAGGA